TATTGACTCACGTAGTTTCTTCTTTCAGCTTAACCCTCTCATCCTAACACCTCCCCTCACTCTCATTTGCTTTCATTTTTTAGATCTATGCTTCTCAGTCTTTCTTTGCCCCAGCCCACTTGAGAGGCTTTTTTATCATAAAAATTATTCATTATAGCATCAGTTCTCAGTAATGCAAACATATGTCTTCATTTTAGCAGAATTCTCATTTAATTCTAGTTTAAATACAATTACATAATTTCTTTGCTACTGCATTTTCAGAGTTTTTATTATGTCAGTATGCACTCCCAATGTTCCTGTAGGGAATATACAATACGTGTTGCTTCTCAAACTTACATGTGACGGAACTTCACACCTTGCCCTCTCCACTGCCACTCCAGATACTGTTTCGAGGATCCCTTTGGGATATATAAGAAATTCTTATGTGTTGGAAAGTCTTTGAAACATAGATTAAGATGTTACACGATGTAAATGCTTGTTTATTCAGCAGTATTATTTAAAATGTGAGAATGCTGGACCCCTGGGTGGCTTGGTCAGTGAAGCATCTGACTCTTGATTTCAGCTCAGGTCATGATCTCATGGTAGTGAGATTGACCAGCATCAGGCTCTGCCCTAAGAATGAAGTCTACTTAAGATTCTCGTTCTCTTGGGGCATCTGGGTGGTTCTGTTGGTTAAGTGTCCAGCTCTTGATTTCGGCTCAGGTCATGATCTCACAGTTTGTGGGCTCTGCACTGACAGCATGGAGCCTGCTAGGGTTTCTCTCTCTCTCTCTCTCTCTCTCTCTCTCTCTCTCTGCTCCTCCTCTACTCTCTCTCTCTCTCTCTCTCTCTCAAAATAAAGAAACTTAAAAAAATTCATGTTAAAAATTCTCTCTCAAAAAAATAGTTAAAATGTGAAAATGCACAAACATAGCAGACCAATTGGCTAAAAATGAATGAAGTACACACCTAATTTTATAAAGCAGATTCCATGCTCACTCTTTTGAAGCTCCTCCCTAGCCAGAGGAATATCATTCAAAAATTACTCAATAAAAATTACTGAAAAATTTGCAAACATCTCCACTCTGGTGTATTCATACAATGAACATCCTTGAGTGCTCTTTCTTGATTTGGAGTGTATATGGGGCCAACTAGATGTTTAAATCATAGGCTATATTTATCCACTATCAACAAAATAGGGAAATGGAACTGAACCTACTCTTTTTCTTCCCTCCCTATAATTTCCTCTATTTCTAATTTTGTGGCAATCAAGTTTCAACTAGTTAATCAAATGTCTTCTGTGTGGCAGGTGCCAGGGTGTTTATTTTCATTAGTGTCCCAACTGCCATATTTAGGAACTTGGCCTTTTGGTTAACTGGCTACAAACATGGCTTTGAACCATTAAATGTGTGTATTTAAACTCAGCATTTATTTTTACATCTCCCTATCCAAATAATCAGGATGTGGTTATCTGTAAGATGATACAGTATGACTTTTTTCCTATATACACCCAAGCACAAAAATATATGCCTCACACATAGTCATCAATATTGTAAATGTCCATCATCCTGTGCCATTTATAATATTGCAGAGATGAAGAGAAACCTGGTTAGTAAAACATACATAAAAATAGTTAAAGGAAATCCACATGGAAAGGCTTATAAAATTGGGCAATTTCCCACTTTGTAACCTGTTTTTAACATGATAAAAAATGAGAAAGTAAAACATCACAATTGTAGTTTACCTTTGATTAAGAGAGCTATTTTTAAAAAATAAAGATAGCCAGAAATGTGAGGTCATTTTTAGAATACAATTAAGGTTTTGATATGTCTTCCTCTATGTTGAGGAAGGTTAAAGAGACAACAGCATAATTACAAGTAAAAAAAAATATGATTTGGTGGCAAATTTTCTAAAGAATAGGGGATGCATTTTTTTTGGTATTTTTACCAGATAACTGTTACACTCTTTGTTATTTTTCTACTGTCTCAATTTAGAGACATAGACATGATTTATTGTTTTTTGATACTTATAAAAATACTCCGTTCAGATATCAATTTGTCAGAAAGAGAACACAGAATTTACTGCCCCCTTTCAGAAAGGATGGAATATAGAGAAGTAACTAGAGATTGACATTATAAGAGTCCAAAGTATTTATTGGTAACCTCCAGAAGAACTAGTTTAGACTACATAACATGAAAATTAAAATCATATTTGATAAAAGTTATCAACAACACTAAAATACTTTTATGCCCATATTAAATGTTAATAGACATGGTTGATACACATGCTACTCTGTCTATATAAAACATTTATTTGTCTTTATTCTAGCAGATAATCTTCATTGCTAAAATCCACACTGAGGTTTCACAGTAACAGTACTATAAAGGAAGTACTCTAAAAAATCTCCAGTCACTCTAAAGTGAATGTAGTTACTAAAGAAATACTTAGTATTACCTCATAAGTGTTCTTTCTTACAAATTATAAATACTCTATGTGACAAAGAAGTTATACATGAATCAGTTCAATCCTCTCAAAGCTCTTTTGAAATGAGAATTACTCCTTGCTTCACAAATATGAAAACTAAAGTGCAAATAGATTAAATGATGCACATCCAAGGTCACTAATACTAAAGCCACAAGAAGACTCAAATCCAGTTCTTCAGATCCATCTAACCATCCTTTCTTTTTTGCTCCCAACAGCTTTCCAAATGATGTTTTTAGGGAAATAAGAGCTTTCTGAGAGTTCTCATTAAGGGATGAATAGGATGGGGGTAGGGGGAATCTTTCCTGATGCCATGTACTAAGTGGTGAAATCATGCCCATTCTATTGTAGCCCACAGCCTGTGATCTTACCTAAATCAGACAATGCTTTCCCTTTACCAGTGGTCAAATTGGCAGCCAGCAGACCTGATATAGACCACATATTAGCTTTAATTGCCTGTATAGGGTTTTTAATATAAAAAATTATAAATGCATGAATGACACATCTTTGTGCTTACTATACAGAATTAACAAATGTATTTTTTAGACATACTTGCTTTAAAAAAATATGTAGATTAAAACTAAGTCCCTATGTTTCTTCCATAATCCTATTTACTTCCCTCTCTCCACAGAAGCAATCATAGTTATGAATCAAGTTCCATTGGTTTATACTTTAATTATATATATAGATTCCAAAATACACAAAATTGCTTTGTGCATCCCCAATTTAGGTAAATGGTAGCATGCCATATATATTGTTCAACAACTTCCCATATCCCCCCAAAAGGGCTTCTTTGCAATCCTTGCATATATATACACATAAGATTTAAGTCATTTGTTTTAACAGTAGACACACATGTATTTAAGTCATTTGTTTTAAGTCCACAGTATGAATATACCTCAACTCATACATCCATTTCCTCTTGAGTAGAGCCCTTGGGTTGATTGTGGTTTTCCACCACTATAAACAGTGAGGCTATGAACTTTCAGATACAGGTCTCCATATAAACATGTAAGAGTTCCTTTGGACTATAAACTAAGAAGTGAAATAAATGGGTTATAGGTAGTACATGATCATTTTTAACTTTTCTAGGTATATTTCAATTTTCTCCAAATGATTGGATTAATTTCCAACTGTACTAGCATCACTTATGTTTCTCTGTTTCCAAGCACCATTCTAATATGTGCGATGTTCACTTTGAATTTTTGCCAACTTGCTGTATGCCAAAGGGTATATTATTTCTCTCCCATTTTTTTGCATTAAACAAGTTGCATGTATTTTTGGATGGTGTACTTTTGGATGTTTGTTTTCTATTAGGCTATTTCCTTTTCTACAAAATGTCCATTCATAACTTTGGCCCATTTTTACTTAATTGTTAATTAAGTTTATTGTTATTTTTAAAATTTTATTTATCAGATTTGAATGGATAAAGAAGATGTGGTATATGTATACACTGAAATATTACTTGGCAATCAAAAAGAATCTTGCCATTTGCAACAACGTGGATGGGACTAGAGTGTATTATGCTAAGTGAAATAAATTAGAGAGAGATAAATATATGATTTCACTTATATGTGGAATTTAAGATAACAAAATAGATGAACATAGGGGAAGGAAAAAAAAAGGAAAGCAAACCATAAGAGAATCTTAAATACAGAGAACACACTGAGGGTTGCTGGAGGGGTGTTGGGTGGGGGGATGGGCTAGATGGGTGATGGACATTAAGGAGGGCACTTGGGATGAGCACTGGGTGTTATATGTAAGTGATGAATCACTAGAGTCTACTGAAACCATTTTCACACTATATGTTAACTAACTTGAATTAATTTTTTTTAAATAAGATTATAAAAAAATCAGTTTTTAAATATTTCAAATGCCAGTTTTAATTTTTATATTGTGTTGAAAATATACTCCACTTGGTACCTTGTCATTTTTTTAGGTTTATTGTATCTTACAATACAGAGTTTTTCAATTTTAATAGAATGAAATATGACAAGCATTTCTTTCGTATAAGATGTGCACCTTTTGAATATTACTTAAGAAATCCTTACACAGCACAAGGACATAAATATATTCACCTATTAGATATGTGGCGTTTTTGAAATTATGAATTTAAATGCTTTCAGACACAGCACATTCTCTCAGGTGCACTACAGACCTCACTAGATCTTATTTTCTAAAACCTGACCAATTTCACACATTTCCCCTTAGGTATGCAAGGTTGTAATCCTTCGATTAGATAGTCAAAGAATAAGATTACAAAAAACTAGATTTCTCAGACTTTAGTTAGTCTGAATTATGATTATAGCTATATAATCCCAGTCTAGGTTTCCATGGAAATGATGCCTTGATAGAATTCATTCCAGGAGACTGATAGCTTCTTTTAAGTATGATTCAAGTTTTGCAGAGATGCACTCCAGCACAGAGAAGCTGAATAATTCGGTTCATCACCTGCATCTAACAAGCTTTACAGGAGATTTTGTTTTCTATTGTTATATGCTAAACTAATAAATATTTACCATGATGTATGTGACCCTCAGATGCTGGACGGGAGACTGGCAAATGCACATTTTATTCTGGCTGTGACGTTGATGCTATGGAGTTCAGGAAAAGTACGCTCAGTGGATGTAGCAACAGAGGTAATGGAAACTAGCTTAAGGGACCATATATTTTTTATGATCATAAGCCATTTCTACTAATGTCAGAAGCAGATACTGCTGACAAATAGATGCCTTAATAACACAAAACTGATGAAAAAGATATTTTTTTCTACTGTCTTGACCTCACTGTAAATTCAGAGAAATCCAACTGAATGTCAAAATAAATAAATAAATAAATAAATAACCTGGAAGTAATAAGTATTAGCATTCTTTGAACAGAAAAAGCATAAAAGAAAATTCATAATCATTTCAGTCATATTTTTAACTAACTCAATTACATCAAGATGAAGTGCTTTTGTGTGAAATTTGAAGGTGTTATGTGTGAAAATTTGAGTAGCTTTGGCCAAACTTTGTATTATGGTACAAATGTTTTCTTGTTGCCATGACTAAAGCACAAATAAAAAGAAATGTGAGGACATCTCCACACAGAGAAACATTAATTTGGCTTATTTGATCTTATTAGAAAATAGTCCCTGTACTTCTTAAATAACAAATGAGAGCCTGAAATGCATTTTACCAGAGAACAAGTTTTATACGAGTTCTATGATTTTTTTTTCCTGAGGATTAAGAACATCTTAAATTTTTTAATGTTTATTTTCGAGAGAGATAGAGAGACAGAGCATGAGCCAGGGAGGGCAGAGAGAGAGGGAGACACAGAATCTGAAGCAGGCTCCAGGTTTTGAGCTGTTAGCACAGAGCCTGACATGGGGCTCAAACTCACAAACAATGAGATTATGACCTGAGCTGAAGTCAGAGATGTTTGCTTAACTGGCTGAGCCATCCAGGCACCCCATGAATATCTTTAAAAAGGAAGAAAACTCTGTTTTGTATGGGCATCAATTGAAAGAATGATAACATTTTTTTTGGAGGATGCTTTGAGAGATAATAAAAGATTTCCTATCTTTGTCCTTTGAAAGTTTTGTCTCCTGCTCTTTAGAATTTCTTTCTCATAATAGCATCCTTCCCTTCCCCAGTGTCTATGTTGTCAAGCTTTTGTAGGGAAGTGGTAGATGTTGAGATTTTAAGAGGAGTTTAGAACACATTGTGGAGTTTGCAATGCAAATAACAAGAGGTATGAGATATTTCTTATTTTATTTCTACAAGGTGGGAGTGTGTTTGGAATAATTAACTTCATGGCAGTATTCAGGATAGAATAGAAAAGGGAGAGTTAGAGAAGCAGGTTATAAGATGATTAACAATGTACACTAAGCAGTGAAGAGGAGCTGATATAAATCACTACTGATGAGAATACGACAGAGCAAGAGAGGGGTGCCTGGGTGGCTCAGTCCGTTAAGCGTCCAACTGTTGATTTAGGCTCACGTCATGACCTCACTGTCACTGCCATGACGTCACTGAGCCATTGTTGGGCTCTGCACTGGGCATGGAGGCCGCTTAAGATTCTCTCTCTCTGGGAGGGAGGAGGGAAAGAAGGTAGAAAGGGAAGGAAGGAGGGAGGGAGGGAGAAAGGGAGGGAGAGGTTTTTCAGGAAGAACTGTCAGGACTTAGTATAGATTTGGTTGGTTTAAGAAAGAAGAGGCTCAATAGATTGTCAGACTATATGTATTTCACAAGAAAGTTGCTGGGGCCAATGATGAAAAGGCTGGAAAATGCTACTCTTTCATTTTACTGGGGAAAATGAAGAACATAGAGAATGGAGGAAACAATCTAAGAAGAAAGGCAGAAAGTGAAGAAAAAGAATCTTGCCAAGAGCAAGAGTCTGGCACAAGGAAGAATGTGATTAACAGGGGGGCAGGGAGGAGGTCCCTGGAGCTGATTTCTTCCCACAGGGGAATATTCTCACTTTCTTAGAAAAGAAGTAATATCCCCTGGACTCCACAATGACTAGAGACTATTAATAGGAACATTTTTTTAAATGCTGTGATTGGGCTTAGGAAAGGAAAAGACAGGCTTCATAAATGACACCCACACTTCTATGACTTGAATGAAGTGTCAAGTGCCAATACGTGAAACAAACAAATAAGAAATTTCACATGAGAGGACAAAGTCATTGGGATATTTCTGACTCACTGTAAACGCTTATTAACAATGTGGTATTATTGCTTGTGAGAATGCAAAATGGTACAGCCCACTTTGGAAGATAATTTAGTGGCTTCTTACAAAACTAAACATACTCTTATCATATGATCCAGCAATTGTGCTCCTTGGTATTCACCTAAGGAGATAAAAACTTACGTCCACACAAAAACTTGCACACAGATATTTATAGCAACTTATTCATAATTGCCAAAAGTTGGAAACAAACAAGATATTCTTCAAGAAGTGAATGGATAAATAAACTAAGATGCATCCAGACAATGGAATACTGTTCAGTGCTAAAAAAAATAAAATAAAATGAGCTATTAAAAAAAAAACCCAATGTGGTAATAAATCACATGGAAAACGATAGTAAGCTTCCTGAGAGCAGAGACTGGATTTTGTTCATTTTTGTGTCCCCCAGGTCTGATGCAGAAGCTGGTACATAGCGGATGCTTAATAGCTTGAATCAATAAGGTATGAATGAAAGGTAAAAAGAAAACAATGTGAGGTTTGTTTTTTTTTCAAATTTCATTCCATAAACATACAGAAATCTACTGAGTACAAACTATGAGCAAAACACTGACCTAAGCATTGAAAAGAGCAAATAAAAAACTAGTTTAGACACAGTTATTACCCTCAGGTTATTCACAAGTTAATAAGCAATACAAATATATTGTAATCAATCTAACACAGGGAAAATGTCATGCGTACAATGATGAAAGAAGTATAGATAAAGCGCTATGGGAATGATAAGGACGCAGTTGTTACTGGGAAAGAGTCTAAAAGAATGCTCAGTTAATATACTAAATTTTAGAGACAGACCTATAAATTTTTATTTATTTCCTGTGTGGGTGTGTGTTGTTGTTGTTGTCTTAATTGCTTTTGGACATACCTCATCTCTATGCATTTTTGTTCCCAAACGTCTTTCTCTCGGGAGCATAAATCCACAAGAAATCAAGTTTCATGGCAGGCATGTCAGCTAAAGGTAGCAAAAGCCAAAGGCAGATGGTTATACATATTTGAGGTTTCTTTTTCTGAATGAGTGGAATCACCCCCTCCTGCCCTACAGGCTTTTGATTCTGGAGTCATAGATGTGCAGTCACCGCCCACAGTCAGGGAAGAGAAATCAGCCACTAACCTGGCAGCAAAACTCTTGCTTCTTGATGAACTTGTGTCCCTGGAGAATGATGTAATTGAAACAAAGAAGAAAAGGAGCTTCTCTGGTTTTGGGTCTCCCCTGGACAGACTCTCGGCTGGCTCTGTCGATCATAAAGGTAAACAGAGGTAAGTGAACTCTTGAAGAAGGAACATTTTTATTTTTTAATCCTGCCACTCTAACTCCAGAAACAGAATTCTACATAAGAAAAGATGATGAAAACCTTGGAGGTAAACATATTTGTAAACATTAAATGTTTACATTCAGTGTTTTAGCTAAACATTAGCTAAACATTAAATGTTTTCGCTAACTTGTTAGTTTAATAGCATAATTTGGGAAATAACTGTTGAGGAAGTAAAATGACTGCTACAGTATGTATGAATGTTTTTGTCATACTTTCCTAAGGAAGATTTCATTGCGTGCACATGTAAAATAGTTATTATAAGACATTACAGGTTTAGGAGGTGAGGGGGGATCTCTGCTACCAGGGGCATCATTTAACACAAAAGTGTTTTGGTGAAATGTTCCCATTGCTTAAAAGATTAAAGAAAACTCCTCAGCAAACCCTGAAAAGAATTTCATCATCTGGCACCCCACTTTTTCATGCACTCATTTCCATGTCCTTTGCTCCTGTCTTACGTGCTTACTTGGAGTTTTAGGATTTGTCACATTTGTCCATGATTCCACGACTTTGCTGTGCTCCATGACTCAGCATACAGGATGCAATTTGCTGGACTTATGTTCTGAGAGTCTCAGAACTACATGAAGAAATAAAATCACCACTTAGGGGCTGTAATTTATCCTACTATACTTAGAAAATAATCCCTCACCTAGGTTTTGAAATCCAGACCCTATTTTAAATAAACAAATATAAATTAATTCAACTTATGTCCTAAGCATTGTGTTGGGTTCTGATGGAAAAGAGGAGGGAAGTATAGTCTTTTCCCTCAGAGAAATCATATACTAATAAGAAATATGAAAATACTTATAATGAATTATAATGCAAAACAAGAAGAGATATGTTTAGAGACCAATGTATGAAGAAGGCCATGGAAATCCAAGGAATAAGTGAAATTTTAGAGGAGAAAATTTTGTGCCTCTTAATAAATGTTATTTTTTTGATTTCTGGATCTTGCAACATAGTCCAGTAAATAATTGAAAAATCAATATATAGATGTTATATGTAAATATTTAAATATAAATTTATAATAGCATAAACACCATATATACTAAACACATATTGCATCAATACCATAAATACATATAATCCATTTTCAGGCTTCATCTTAACAATATCTTTAGGACGTATTATAAGAGGAGACTATATTGGGAGATATAATCTATCTAACACAGCTCAGCTTGCAAGAAATAAAGGGAAATTGGCAAGTATTTAATACCCATTTGAACAGATTTTCACATATAAAGGCTACAAATAAACTATTATAAGCATTTTAAAAATTAGGGAATATTGTTTCCATGAGCACTTTTGGAGAAGGATACTAAGTGAGTTTCTTTGGACATCTGGAATGACTGGAGAGATATCATAAGAATTGGTGGGACCATAACTGTATAATTTAAGAGAAATGAAGGCTGCAAGGAAAAGAGTGCCATGTGCTATGATTATAGTATGACAATATAGATTCATCAAATATCTAACAATTCAGGAACAGTAGTGAGAGCATATACAATTCAGAATGAATTTTGATTATTTCATGGCTATTAATTGAGAATCAAAGTGATCACTACAAATAGTTACTTGGAAACATGGAGAAGAAGGGGAAAAAAAAGATTACAAACTGAGTTTAATGAATATTTTCCTGAAGAATAAAAGAAAACAAATGAAGAGATCAAGGTAAAAAATAAGAAAGAAATTAAAACTTTCTTATAAAAAAAAGAGAGCATAAAAAATAAGGAGTATTGAAAAACTTTATATAAAATATTGGCATATATAAATACAACATTTACAATATGACAGATTCAAAAAATACTGATTATGTCAATAAATGTCAATAGATGTAACTTTTCTATTAAAATGTGAATGTTTTGGGGGTGCCTGAGCGGCTCAGTCAGTTAAGTGTCCAACTCTTGATTTTGGCTCAGGTCATGATCTCACAGTTCATGAGATCCAGCCCCACCTGGTAGTCTGTGCTTGCAGTGTGGAGCCTGCTTGAGATTCTCTCTCTCCCTCTCTCTATGCCCCTCCCATACTCCCACTTGCTAGCATGCACACACTCTCTCTCTCAAAGTAAATAAATAAGCATTAAAAATAATTAAACAAATAAGTAAAAATGCAAATATTTTCAGATTGGCTGATAAAGGGAAATCCAACCCTTTTCTATATTTAAGATACACAACTAAAAATAAAGATATTTAGAAAGGTTGGCAATAAAAGAATGGAGAAGTTATACCAGGAAAAAATACATTAAAATAAACTAAAATAAAAGAAATAAAAACATAAAGAAATAGATAAAAATTTAAAAAGAGTGTACCAATGTTTATCAAAGATAAACCACAGGGAATGCCAGGAAATAGAAAGAAACATATTAAGAATAGGAGACTTTAATTCATTTCTTAAAATCCAAGGCCGATTATATATTTAAAATGTATAGAAGGCATATACAATATAATCCATAAAATGGAATTTGTAGATCTATTTGGAACTCTGAACTTCAGTAGAAAATATAGCATCTTCTGAAGTGCATATGGAGTATTCAAAAAATTTACCGTATCTGAGGTGACAAACAAACCCTCTAGGAATTCTAAAAACAGTATATTAAAAAAAAAATTCACTGACTGAAACACAGTGTGACTAGAACTTAATAACAAAACTAGAAAAACAAGAAGTCATTTTTACCTAAAAGTATAAACCATGTCATTAAATAACTATTGGGCCAAAGAGGAATACAAAATAAAATTATATGCTTTGTTCAAGATAATAATAATGAAAATGTAATATTAGGGGCACATAAAGCAAATATCAGATAAAAGTCATCATTATACCAATAAAAATTAAAAGTAGAAGTAAAGCAAAATGACACACAAAAACATCTGGAAAGAACAGCAAAGTAAGTCAAGAAAAGCCATGAGAAAAAAAAGCAGAAGGTAAGAATAACGACAAAAGCTGAAATCAATGTTTGTAAAGCAAACCATAGTGTATAAAAAATAAATGTAAAACTGTTTCTTGAGAAAAATACAAGCCACTAGTTAACCTAAGCTAATTAAGAAAAAAGTAGAAAGTAAATTCACAAAATTAGAAGTGACAAGATGGAAACACCAAAACAGAGAATCTTTAAAAAGAGAACTACTGGGGCGCGTGGGTGGCGCAGTCGGTTAAGCGTCCGACTTCAGCCAGGTCACGATCTCACGGTCCGGGAGTTCGAGCCCCGCGTCGGGCTCTGGGCTGATGGCTCGGAGCCTGGAGCCTGTTTCCGATTCTGTGTCTCCCTCTCTCTCTGCCCCTCCCCCGTTCATGCTCTGTCTCTCTCTGTCCCAAAAATAAATAAACGTTGAAAAAAAAAATTAAAAAAGAGAACTACTTTGCTCAACTGAATACAAATAAACTGAAGACTTGGAAAATGGATACAATTTTGGAAAAATATGATTTACAAACATTGACCCCAAAAGAGACAAATAATTCAATTACCATGGAGTTTTTTTTTTTTAATTTTAGAAGAGCTTGCCAAGAGAAAGTAGATCTAGATATTTTCATATGAGAATTTTATCAAATCCTAAGGTATCAGATAATCCCAAGGTTATCTTACCTTTTCAGATCATAATAAAATAAACTTTCTAAGTTCATTTCCTGATACAAATATAATATTGATCCTCAAATAATAAACATTACATTCTTAAAAGGAAATTTTAGATTCATGTCATCTATAAATATCAGTACAAAAACCAGAGATACAAAGTTAATAAGTAGAATCCAAAACTTTAAAAATATAATACATCTAAACCAATTGGGCTTATTCTGGGAAAGTGTCACTCAATATTAGGAATTCTTTTAATGTAATCCATCATATAAATAGAGCAATGGAGAAAAAGCATATGATTATATCCTTAGATGGCAGAAAAGGCATTTGACAAAATCTAGCATTTATTATATTTTTTAAAGTACAACAGAATGAGAACTGACAGATATTTCCTTAACATGGTGTGTGCATATGTGTGTGTGTATATGTGAGTATTTATGTACACCTCAGCCCGAAGCCTCTATCTTACCTAATGGTGACATATATGGGAAGTTTTACTAAAGCAAGGAATAGGAAAACCACACCCATCACTTCTACTATTATTTAGAAATGACTTTAGACAAGAGAAAACATTTAGAGACATAAGAATTGGAAAGAAAAAAGTAAAATTATTTTTATTTACAAATGAGAAACTGGAAAACAAAGATAATCAATGGAAAAACTACCACAACAAAACCCTTTTGATTAAAATGCAAAGTGCATAAATACAGAAAGCTAATAGTACTTCTATATTACCAGCAGAGGTCAGATAGAAGGTAGACCTCATTTATAATTGCATTAAAATAGGAATGTACCTAGGCATACAGTTAGCAAAGAAAGCTCCTTCCTCAGCCATAAAAAAAGAATGAAATCTTGCCATTCGCAATGATGTGGATGGAGCTAGAGAGTATTATGCTGAGCAAAATAAATCAGTCAGAGAAAGATAAATACCATTTGATATCACCCATATGTGGAATTTAAGAAACAAAACAAATGAATGTAGGGGGGAAAAGAGAGAGGGAGAGAAACCAAGAAACAGACTCTTGACTGTAGAGAACAAATTGGTGGTTACCAGGGAGGGGGAAAGCAGTGGGGGGGATGGGTGAAATAGGTGATGGGGATGAAGGAGTATACTTGTTTTGATAAGAACCCGGTGTTGTATGGAAATGCTGAATCACTATATTGTACGCTTGAGACTAATTGTCCCCTATATTTCCACTAACTGGAATTTAAATAAAAATTTTAAAAATGTTCATATACGAGCATATATGAGGAAACCTCTGAGAATAATGCTGAAATGCAAACAGTGGATTGAACAAATGGAGGCTCACACTGTGTTACTGGCATCAAAAGACTCAAAAGCAGAAAAGATGGCAGCTCTTCTTAAGTTAAATTGC